ACAAGTTGAGGATTGGCTTGATCGTGAAGATTTTCTCGTCAAAGAAAACTGCGAGGTGATAGCAAGCTAGCTAGCAAGAAGTCAACTTGTTTTGATGTTTGCTGGAACGTTCTTCTTCGAGCAGATGGCAACCCCTTATTGTTTTTTCAACGGTGTTCATTAATTTAGCTCATTTGAGTAACTTTTCACAGCCAATATCACTTTCTACTCACAACTGAGTACTGTATCATATGAGGTTCCGGCACGGACGGCTGCATATGTAAGGGTTTCAGCCATGACTCGACTGCAGCAGAAGTAGAAGATATCAGGTGCTTTGCAACGCTGGCGAAGTAGCACCTGCTATGGAGAACGTCTAACAATTTTCAGTTATGTTTAATGAAAGGAACTTTTCCTTGCGTTCTTACGTCAAGCAATAAACAAAGTGCTGTCGACCGACCGAGCTCGTTTTAAAATTTCATTCGGTTTGAGCTTTTATTTTCTTGCACTTGTACTCCTCTTCATTGAGCCGTTAATGCCCTTCTACGACAACACGCATGAATTTTTTCAGCTTTGCCAAACATGGATCATAGCATTGTGGCCGACGAAAAATGTATGTGGACGAGTTGTCGTGTGACGATCTCTTTTTTGACATGACACCCTCCGGAAGGGCGTCATATGTATATGCGCATAGTAATATAACGAACATTCGCCCACATTCGTGCCTGGTCCCATTTCTTCTACGATTGTCAGACATGCATTTTTGTTTGCGTCAGCGAAACTCATGTTTAGTTGGCAAGACAACAGTTTTTTTGAAGTTGGTCACCGATAAACACGACAGAAATTTAATAAAAATTCGTCTAAAACGCATAAATGCAACGGAGACTAGTAAAAACCGATATATAATTAACCGCTCAATTGAGCAAACGCGGTCCCGAATGAAGATGATCTAGAGAGAGTGAAAAATGGCACAACGACGAAGCCGCATATACATACGCATACTGACAAAAATCTGTACATGAGGAAATGGAGACACACAATGAGACCGTTGGTTGGTCAGTTATTCAACAAAATTAATATGTACTAATGTATGAGTGAGATAGAGCAGTAACTGCTGAAGTTTGCAGACATGAGAAAAAAATGAAGTAAGATAGGTGAAACACAAATCTGGACAAGTGAGAGCGCCTCAACAGCTGGCCCGACGCTTCTTTTACGTTTGCATTATTTAATGGGAGATCGAAGCCATGAAGAGTTCCATAACTTCTGCCAGGAATAGCACATTCAAAAATAAAAGGGCTTTGAGCGTTCCTTTACAACATAGCAGATCATAACAGAAAACATTTAGGTCACAAGGCCGCAAGATTTGCTCAGGCACGGCCGTGGCAAATTGCCCAGCTTTTTCGCTGCGGGAACGCCCACCGGCAGAGCGCCAGTGGTTCCCACAGCGAAAGGCTTGGGATCCGGTATATGAATTATGTGAATGAAATTTAGTAAGGAAAAGTTCAGCAAGAAGAGGAACCTTTTTTGAAAATCACATTAATATTTCAAACTCATTCCTATTTTTAGCAAACACTAGCACAGGCTGAACGACCTTTTTTTCTCCTCTTGGCAGTATCATACGTTCACCCTTGCATGAAAATTGGAATTGCAGAAACTATAAACAAAAGGTGCGCAAGAGCGGAGTGGAAGCACGCGAAACACGCGCAGCGGTGGTGTCGCGTTTTTACTATTGGGCACGGTAGGTTGTAGGACGCGCGAGTGCGAGGAAAGAATCCGCCATAGCGCGCAGTCGCGCCGAGGTTTAGCACTTTGAGCAAAAAATTCATACTGCAAGGCTGCTCCCTTGATGTCTAACATCTTACCAATCCCGGCGCTTCTCCTCTCCTCTAGTTCAGGCGAACAACAAACCATGCCACAGCGGAAACTTCCCACAGATTTGAAGTAGAGTAGATTGGAGGACCAGCTGACCCTACAAAACCACTCCAAATTTATGTCCCAATGATAGGCGTCAACTCGTCCAAACCACTACGAATTTCGCTGCGCAAATCGCCGCAAGCGTCTCCAAACAGACGAATGTTCCGTTCCGCCAAAAAAATTTTTGGCTTGATGTGAGTTTTCTTCAATTTCTCGGTAGCTCCCCTCGTTTTCATTCCTTTTTATATTAGATTGATGAAGTTAGAAAATCCAAACGTCAGTATCGTTTTACAATTAAACTGCTACGCTACTGCACATCGCAGCCTTCACAGAACACAGCCCATCACAGAACCTAATGAAGCAAAGATCACGACGCAGCTTTCTGGATTAAACACTTTCGTAGATGCGTAAATGCGTGTTTTGTTGTACTTTATGTGCAAAGGTTTTACCTATACAACAAACTTTCAGCTCAGAATCCAAACAGCGTGAACCGTTCATAGTGTGGTAGCATTCTCGCTGAACCGTGGTCAATTACCACTTCACTAGCTTTATGAATTTACTTTTGGGATAGTTCCTAATGAGGTATTTTCGGCCTTCATTATAAGCGAGGAGGTAAAGCCCAACCAACGGGGCGATTGCCCATACGTGTGGGGGTGGAGCGTGTGTGTCCATGAAGTATTGGCTGACTGGCGTGTAAACGAACATTACCAGAAGGAGAATCTGAAAGCGAACAGTCGAACAGATGTAGTAAACGCTCAAAGAAAAAAACAAACCTCAATGATCACTGCGAAAATGGACACGACGTTGGTGATGCCATGTCGGAAGACAGACACTCGGCGGGTTGCGCAGTTGTAGAGGTGAAACACCTGAACGGTTGTCTCTCTTAAAAGCAAGGGATATGCCAGCCGAATTCTGGATTCCCTGCGCATTTCTTTCGAGTTCCATAGCTGAGCTGGTAACCAACCTGAGACATGACAAGTACCACCTGCCAGGCGCCAGCTGCTTGTCCTTTTATGAACAACTGCTGGTTCTCATCGTAAACCACACCGTCACTGGTAGTAAAATTCACGGCGCCAATTTTCCAATGATGTTCAGCTGTGAACAACAAATCCCGAAACGTGATGTTGTGGTACCTGAAGGTAGGAAATGATTACATCCCGAAAGAGATCCTCAAAAGATCCGGTAGATCTTACCAGTATACACTAAGGTATGCGGCTATACAACCAATAGTGATACCAGTGCCAGCAAAGAGGTATGCGTAAACGAGCAGTCCTTTTGAAAGGAGACGAGTTTTCCGACTACGTGGACGAGTTAGCATGATGTCTTGTTCGGGTTGCTCATAAGCAAGCGACACGGCTGGAGGCATCTCAGAAGCCAAATCGATGGAAAGGATCTGAACTATTGGTTAGTACTATTGGGACTTCTTCAGACCTGGAACTATTTACTGTACGCCTGATCGGTTCTTGATCACATTCGCAAATGACAGTGGAATGAATGGCGTGTATCTGATTGACCTGCATTGGCGACAATCCTTGTGGTAATCCGAGTATAAACGTGAGCATAATCGGAAAGATTTCCGGCCAGAGATGAGCGAATGTATACGCCAAAGAGAGCCTGAAAAGGACAAGTTCGAAAG